TCAGACAGGTAGAATGCCATAGACTCCACCCTCCAAACCAGCCATTTTGTCCTGGGTAACAATTGTTGCCAATCTCCAGGTGAGGGCTACAGATTACTCACAATTACAACTGCTCTTCAGGTAGCAGAGATCAGTTCCTCTGGAGAAAACAGTGGACTCTGTCATTATACCCTGCTGAGGTCACCACAGCAAATTGACACTGTTTGTCCAAAGCCAGAGCACTGCCCCAGAGCCTCTTTCTAGATCCCGTTGTATTGCTTTCACAACGGGCTTTACTGCTAGTAGAATATAAGAACATAAGAGAAGCCAATGTTGGATCAGGCCAGTGGCCCATCCAGTCCAACACTCTGTGTCACACAGTGGCCAGAAATACCAGGTGCCCTCAGGAGGTCCAGCAGTGGGGCCAGGACACTAGAAGCCCTCCCACTGTTCCCCCACCCCACCTCAAGCACCAAGAATACAGAGCATCCCTTGCCCCAGACATAAGAATATAAGAGAAGCCAATGTTGGATCAGGCCAATGGCCCATCCAGTCCAACTCTCTGTCACACAGTGGCCGAAAATACCAGGTGACATCAGGAGGTCCATCAGTGGGGCCAGGACACTAGAAGCCCTCCCACTCTTGCCCCCACCCAAGCACCAAGAATACAGAGCATCCCTTGCCCCAGACTGAGAGTTCCTACCTATACCTTGTGGCTAATGGCCACTGATGGACCTCTGCTCCATATGTTTATTTAATTCCCTCTTGAAGCTGTCCAAGCTGTGGCAGTGAATTCCAGGTGTTCTTTGGGTGAAGAAGGACTTCCTTTTATCATTGATCATTCTAGTTGCCCTTTTCTGCATTTTTTTCAATACTATAATACCCTTTTTGAGGTGTGGTGATCAGAACTGTACACAGTACACCAATGAGGTCGCACCATTGATTTATATTGATTTATATGAGTAAGCAGACGGTTCTTGCAGTGGAGTCCCCAATGGAACCAAACTGGGACTAGTGATGTTTAATTTGCGTACAAAGGTGGGTGGTACCGAGTGATTCAGGATGGTGGAAAACCAAGCAGATTGGCACAGAGCTCCAACTGAGGGTCACTGTCAGTCCGTGTTAAGCTGACTTAACGGTGACCTGGAGGGGGGTCTTCAAGGCAAGAGACATTCAGAGGTGGTTTGCCATTGCCTGCCATTCCGTCAGGTCTCTGGACTTCCTTGGTAGTTTCCCATTCAAATGCTGACCAGGGCTGAGCCTGCTGAGCTGACAAGAATGGGCTAGACTGGGCCGTCTGGTTCAGGGTAAAGGGAGATGTACAGTGGTTCACAACCCTCTCATTTTCCAAATACTCTTGAGGTTTGGAGAACTTTTGGGGATTATTAGCCAAGGACTGAAAAGACAGTGGCCAGTTCTGTAACACCCTTGCGTAGATCGGTGGATTGTGGTGTGTTGTTCAGCTGACGCGCTTCCATCCTGACAGTGTGCGTCCCTTTCAGATAAAACGGCCCTATTTCCATGTGAAACCTCTGGAGAAAACCCAGCTGAAGAATTGGAAGGAGTACTTGGACTTTGAGATTGAGAACGGGACTCACGAGCGCGTGGTGGTCCTTTTCGAGAGATGCGTGATTTCCTGTGCCCTCTATGAGGAGTTCTGGATCAAGGTACGGGGCGTCGCTCCCGAGCGCAGCTTTCCCCTTTGCAAAGATTGCTGATCAGTGACTAACCTTCTGTACTCTTGTTTGAATGTTGTTCATGTATAACTATATTTGTTGCATTAGGAGATGGTCTGCTTGCAACCAGATTTGAGAGCTGCATATGCCAACTTCGTTGCCTCTCTTCGTCCTTCCTTACAGAAACTAGTCTAATGGTTCAATAAAGGTGCTGAATGGGTTTAAACACAAGAATTTTATAGTTCTCTCAAGTATTCAGCAGCCCAGAGGAAGCTGTGAATTATTCAGTCTGTGCTCTGTCTTCAAATACAGTATGCCAAGTACATGGAGAACCACAGCATCGAAGGGGTGAGGCACGTCTACAGCCGGGCATGCACGATACACCTGTCCAAGAAGCCCATGGTGCACTTGCTCTGGGCCGCGTTTGAAGAACAGCAAGGTGAGAGGCCGGGGGAGGGGGCAGAGGAACAGTGCAGATCAGTGGCATGATTGCCACGTGACCGTTACAGGCCACTGACTACACCGTGCCCAGGCAGAGGGGGAAACTGTCAGGATCCTGGTTAAATCAGTTCTCAACACTAGTCACTTCGAAGAAAGCTAACTTTATCGAGACATTGATAGGTAGCATACTGGAGAAGAGCTATTGTTAGGACTGAAGGCGAACGCGGGAAAGTTGCAGATATATTGTGTTCAAATACAGGCACTAAAGATCAGGACCCAATCACCTGCCTGCCGGAATTTACAATCCACTACCCCCCCACACACACACACACTAAGCACCTGCTCCTCCGCCTCCCCCCTGCCAGAACGGTTGTCCCCCCCCCCCCCCAATAGACACGTAGCCTCTACAAAGCAAGAAAAACAGAATATCAGACATTTGAGAAGCCAGGACATTTGGCTCCACTAAGGTGACAAGCCCCAGGCACATCTAAGAGAGAGGGACCTCCTCTCTCAGTGGCAGGCCAGCTGTAAAATGCAGAGGGAGCCTGACAGAAACTGGCTGCTAAAAACCAAAACTACACACACACACACGTGTGTTGTAAATGCACGCTATGGCAAGGTGAACAAGGCATTTGTAAGTCTGATTAAGGTCAGTCCCCAAGACCTAGGTTCGAATCCAGAAGCACTTGATCTATTGATTAAAATACTTTTATGCCACCTTTGCAACAGATAGGGTCCACAAGGTAGCGAATGTTAGAATATTTCAACAATTAGAGGAAAACCAGTTTGGTGTAGTGGTTAGGAGCACAGACTCTACTCTGGGAGGACTGGGTTTGGTTCCCCACTCCTCCACACGCAGCTGCTGGTGTGACCTTGGGCAAGCCACAGTTCTCTCAGAGCTGTTCTCTCAAGAGCGGTCCTCGAAAGAGCTCTCTCAGCCCCACCTGCCTCACAGGGTGTCTGTTGTGGGGAGGGGAAGGGGAAGGAGATTGTAAGCTGCCCTGAGACGCCTTTGGGTAGTGAAGGGCGGGGTATAAATCCAATCTCGTCTTCTTCTAAACATACAGTTAAAATTATAAAAAGATTCAATGACATAAATACACACAGCACTAGAAACTATTACTGGGGACATGGCCGTTGAAACCAAAAGGTCAATCTCTTTCACCAGGAGGTGAAGACTTTTTTGTTTCGTCCAGCATGCCCCCAACTCATGGTTACTGGCCCTCCTTCTAGTGCAGTTTATGTGTTTGTCATTGAATTATTTTATGATTTTAACCGTATATTTAATTCCTCAAATGTATTTTAATGTTTTTTTTAATATTTTCCTCCCTGTGGACCCTGATCAGACGGAAAGGCGGCATAAAGATGTTAATACCCTCTTGAGCAGCTTGGCCTTACGAAGCCTCCTCCAGGACAAAAGTGACGTTCTCAGGAAAGGCATTCCACAGTGTCGGGGCAGGGGCATCCCTGTAGAAGCATAGTCATCGTGGCCATCTAGTCCCACCCCCCTGCTCAGTGCAGAATCAGCCTAAAGCAGGGGTGTCAAACATGCGGCCTGGGGGCCGGATCAGGCCCCCGGAGGGCTTCTATCAGGCCCTCAGTGCAATTGGCCGTCTTCTGCTTCTTCTGCTGCTGCGTCATCGTAGGTTTGCAGCTTACAGATACACACTTTTTTAATAAAAATATTTTTTAAATTTTTTCATATATGAATAAGTAATACAATTTTCAAACGATAAACAGAACAATGTACAACAACAATACCAGTATACATATGAGCAGCAATAATTACTTAAGATAATCAGGATAGTACCCAAAAAGGTTTGTATATAGTTCAGCAGCGATAAGTAATAGTGCAATGTAGGAACAGAAATACAACTTGTAAAGTACACAGCATGAACAGATAGAGGATAGTTGGAGCTAAATCACCACTGGTGAGACCTCATTTGGAATACTGTGTGCAGTTCTGGGCACCACACCTTAAAAAGGATATTATAGCTTTGGAAAAAGTGCAGAAAAGGGCAACTCGAATGATAAAAGGGTTGGAACACTTTCCCTATGAGGAAAGGTTAAAGCGCTTAGGGCTCTTTAGCTTGGAGAAAAGACGACAGGGGTGATATGATCGAGGTTTATAAGATTATGCATGGGAAAGAGCAGGTAAAGAAAGAGGTACTTTTCTCCCTTTCTCACAATACAAGAACTCGTGGGCACTCCATGAAACTGCAGAGCGGTCGGGTTAGAACGGATAAAAGGAAGTACTTCTTCACCCAAAGAGTGATTAACACATGGAATTCACTGCCACAGGAAGTGGTGGGTGCTACAAGCATGGACGGCTTCAAAAGGGAATTAGATAAGCATATGGAGCAGAGGTCCATCAGTGGCTATTAGCCACAAGGTATAGCTAGGGGCTCTGGGGCAAGTGATGCTCTGTCTTCTTGGTGCTTGGGGGGGGTCAACGGTGGGAGGGCTTCTAATGTCCTGGCCCCACTGCTGGACCTCCTGATGGCACTGGTATTTCTGGCCACTGTGTGACACAGAGTGTTGGACTGGATGGGCCTTTGGCCTGATCCAACATTGGCGTCTCTTATGTTCTTATGTTCACTGCCGAACAAAAATAGATACTCGGAGCCATTTGTGTCGTTGGGACCCTTCAGAAGAGATGAATTGTTGTTGAGTCAATAATCTAGGACTGGGACCCATTTCCCAATAAAATTAGATTGAGTCGAGTTATGAGATTTAGAATCTGATTTAATTGTGACCGCATCCATAAGGTAGTGGTTACAGATACACACCTGAACAGCAGACTCAAGATTGCAACAGCACAGACATTTCGATGCAATAATCCAGAGCAAGAGGTGTCAGTTATCAGACACTGTTAAATAAACAAAATATTGCAAGGGTGCTAATGCTTTAAGCATGCTTGTATTTTAAGTAAGAAAAACCCCTTTGTGTCCTTTATAAAGTTTATATCTACGCTACCTGGCCCGACAAGGTCTCATGTATGTCAGATCCGGCCCTCATAACACATGAGTTCGACACCCCTGGCCTGAAGCATCCTGGACAAGTGCTTGTCCAGCTGCTGTTTGAAGACGGCCAGGGAGGGGGGGAGTGGCAGTTCCTGATGTCTGCACAAGTGGGTGTAGAGGAGACGATTGGTGCCGCCACACAAGCTCACGCTGAGAGGCGGCGCTTCAGGCGTGTGGATCCCAGAATGGGAAAGGCTTTAAATGTAAGGTCCAGCAGTTTGAATTGGGCCCAGAAACAAGTAAAAGAACGCAGCGATTTAAAAGTAGGTGCAAGACGTGCAAAACATCTCGCTCCACTCCAGCTGCTACATCTTGGACCAATAGCCCTGTGTAGAGTTGATGGCAGCGGTCCAGCCTCTGGGTTGGTGAGCCATGGGCTGCCTAGGCCTGTTCTTATGCGGACATAAGAGGAGCCCTGCTGGATCAGGCCAGTGGACCATCCGGTCCAACAGGGGCCAGCGAAGAGTGAAGAGAATCTTTGTGCGAAGCGGAACGGGGGGAAGAAGCTCTGGAGGAATCTCAGTGGCTTTTCTCACAGAACCACTGGATGACCTGGAGCAAGTGGGTCCGTGGCTTGCGGCCGGGTCGGCCATCTGCCGTGCAGGCACAGGGCTCCGTGTCAAGTCCTTGGCGCCTCTCCAGTTTGGTGTCGTGGTTAAGTGCGCGGACTCCAATCTGGGAGAACCGGGTTTGATTCCCCACTCCTCCTCCACTTGCACCTGGGCTGGATGACCTTGGGCAAGCCGTAGTTCTGGTCAGAGCTGTTCTCTCAAGAGCAGTTTCTGTCAAAAGTTCTCTCAGCCCCACCGACCTCACAGGGTGTCTGCTGTGGGGAGGGGAAGGGAGAGGAGTTTGTCAGCCACTCTGAGACTCCTTTGGGTAGTGAAGGGCCATGGGGTATAAATCCAGTCTCCTCCTCCTCTTCTAAGAAGATCCAGTAGTGGGTGATGGGAAAGACCTCTGCCTGCAGCCCTGGGGCGCCGCTGCCCGTCAGAGAAGAGAAGACAAGGCTTGACCCTAAATGAACCTGTGACGGGTCTGACTCCACATCAGGGCAGCCTCGTGCCTTCAGATCTCTCAGGCTCTTACTGGGGTCTGTCTAACAGCTCCTCGTCCCTCCCGTCCAGGCCAGGTCCCCCAGAACTTGCTTGCCACCTAGCATCAACTCTCTCTCTCTCACCTGGATGCTGTTTCAGCTGGTTTTCTTTCAGTTGCTTGAACACAGCTGATAGGTTCTGGCTTCAGACAGAGATAGCTGATTCTGGAAGCTTATTCAGAGAGAGAGAGAGACAGACAGACAGACACAGGTATCTTATATACTGAGGACACCCACCAACAAAGCTTTGGGCCGATTGCATTCAGTGGTCTTCAGATTTTTAAATGCTAGGGATGTTATCTGTGTTTCGCCACCACCGAATTTAGAATGTTGGGTGGGGGACGTAGCAGAGGCTGAGGCCCCGCTCTGGACTGTGGTCCGACAGGAAAGCAGCACAGACTGAACGTTTGCTCTCCGTCACGCTTCCAGGGAATATCAACGAAGCCAGAAGAATCCTGAAGACCTTTGAGGAGAACGTTTCTGGACTGGCCATGATCCGTCTGCGCAGAGTGAGCTTGGAGCGCCGACACGGGAACCTGGAAGAGGCCGAGCACCTCCTGCAGGAGGCGGTGAGGAACTCCAAGTCGAGCTACGAGGCCTCCTTCTTCGCCGTGAAACTCGCCCGGCACCTTTTCAAAATCCAGAAGTCCCTCCTGAAGGCCCGTAAAGTGCTCCTGGAGGCCATCGACAGGGACAGGGTACGTACCTTCCGGCAGGTGTGCCGGACTTCCCTCACTGCCTCTTCTGAGCGGGTTTTCTGGGCGGCAACTGTGATGACCTGTACTGACTCTGCAGTGCACGTTGCTGTGACGTGGAGACACCAGTCCCTCTAAGCTGATGTTGCCTGCCGGGCTGGCATTCCCGGGATAGCCCCTGTGTGTGCCCCCCACCCCTCCCTCCCCCAGAGGCAGAACTGTCTGGGCGTGGCAGGGAGCTAGAGGCTACCTTTGGAAGGTCGAGTGGGCCTTCTCCTGGTTTCATGCCGCCGCCTCGGGCCAGGACGGCGCTCTCTCTCAGGACAGCCAGCCAGCTGACAGGTCAGTCTCTTCAACATCAGAGAATGTGCCGAACATTGTCCATGCTGCGTGCTGTAGGAGACCAAACCTGATGAGAATCTGAGCCTGAAAACACCCACTCCAGTTCCTTTGCACCAGCAGCAGTCTCCCTAAATAGGCATGTGGCGTCCTCTTATTAGGGAGGACTGGTTTTCCCTTTAAATGTGCACTTTGCTTTATTGAACTGGGTAGATTCGGCTGCCACCAGGAATTTAAGGATCTCCAAACCTTCTCTCTGTTCCTCTTTCTGGGAAAATAAGACCATAAGAGACACCAATGTTGGATCAGGCCAAAGACCCATCCAGTCCAACACTCTGTATCACACAGTGGCCAGAAATACCAGTGCCATCAGGAGGTCCACCAGTGGGGCCAGGACATTAGAAGCCCTCCCGCGGTTGACCCCCCCCCCCCAAGCACCCAAGTAACCCAGGGTCTAGGCTTTCCAGGGATCTATGTGGTCCTGAGGAAGGATTGAATTCCATTCTGGGATAACTTAAACAAAAGATGATTTATTGAACTAAGAACAAAATATGAGGTTGGTCATTCTGTAACTGTTTAGGATAAAGGGACTGGTAAATATGTTGTTCCAATGTATCACACACACAGCCTTTTTTCCCTTTACTGTTGTTTGTTTGACACTCAGTTCCAACATTAACAGGAGTAACTCTTTCCTTTAGAGTCGGCCACTCAGGCTAAGGACATATATACTCCTGTCTTTGAGATCTCACACAGAACTATAATAACCCTCACTGACTGAACCACAAGTGAACAAATCCAACTGACTTTCATAACTGACACACCCACACAGATTCACTTCAAAAACCCCTCCCACACTCTGTCATCCACCAATCACAGCACATTTCTCTCTCTCAATCACATCTAGTCTACTAACCACGCACTCCAACCAAGCATTTAAAGGCACACACACTCTCATAAAACAAGGAATCATTACACGGCGTCTTCAGACTTTTTGTTATTTTTGTTGTATTTGAAGAGTCTCCCTAAATATGCATCTTCAGACTGTGTTTTTGTTTGTTGGTTGGTCGGTTGATTTGAAGAGTGTTCTGAAATTTTAGGGGGAGAAAGATCTTGATGTGGTCTTTGTAACTCTGGAGAATTATGCCATAATGCTCCCCTTCCACCCCCCGGCCACGTTTCCACCTACTGGAATGGCCCCTCAAGTCAAGAGCTGTCAATGTATTCTGCTGGAAATGAGGGCCAGAAGCATTTTTTTAAAAAAAACCACGTAATGAGACTGACGTTAATGACACCTTGGGGTGCCGTTCTCCACACTCAAGGGTCGTCACAGACATGCAGTTGTCCATAGCTTTGGCCTCTGCCGCTTCTCCTTTGGGAGGTATTGCTAGTCCCTAGAGCAGGGGTGTCAAACATGTGGCCCGGGGGCCAGATGAGGCCCCCAGTGGACTTCTATCAGGCCCGCAGTGGAACTGGCGGTCTGCTGCTGCTTCTTCAAGTTCTGCTGCTGCTGCGTCATTGTAGCCAAAAAAAGAGGGGGGGGGGAAGCCAGTGTACAATGCAGGAAACAAAAAAGGACACCACTGGCAAAAAATATATAACGCACAAGCAAGTAAGCAAGTATATAACAGCAAGTATAATATAAATCAATTAAACATAAAAAGTATGATATAAATCAATAGGCCAAAGTGCAATAATAAATCATAATAGAAGCAAGTCACAGTCTTTCCATGTGTCTACTCCAGCATAGAAGCAAAATCAAAGTCCAAAGTGGAGTGCAAGTCATCAAATTTTCTGAGCCATAAAAAGCCGACGCGTAATCCGGATGCCTGTTGCCGCGTTTCGAATGATTCTTATTCAAGCATGGCTGTAATGGGACTGAATGCAAATTCAAAGCATATACAAATGAGAATGCATACAAAATATAAATATTGGAACAATACACAAGTGAGAATGCATACAGGATTAAGGGTCCTTAGCCTGCCATGTGCTGCACCTTAATTTATACCTAATATTCAGGTTGCATCAACACAGGCAGAGTTTCTTCAAGGTCATAGTGCCATTGTAAATGAATCTAGTTTCCTTGAAAATTCACCAATGGTTGCACATTATATGCAGGCAGGACATAGTGCGAATGAAATGAAGTTTATAATTTTATACTGCCAACAAAAAAAGCCCTTCCAACAACTAAATATTGAACAAATCCTTTTGCAAAAGGAAACTAGATTCATTTACAATTTAAAGACATATCCTCATGGCATGAATCAGAGCATGGATTTTACACCTTATATCAATTAATGATAGTTGCCCAAATGAAACTTAAATATGTTGTTCTAAGTGATGGCAGTTTAGTGCACTTGCTGCTTCTGGATTTTTGAGCAGGATGCATGGCACTATGACCTTGAAGAAACTTTGCCTGTGTTGATGCAGCCTGAATATTAGGTATTAATTAAGGTGCAGCACATGGCAGGCTAAGGACCCCTAATCCTCCTTGACTGACCATTCTGGCTTAGTGTATGCCAGCTTTTGAGACTGGGGTGAGTTTTCTTTGCAGCTCCTAATTTTTCAAATATTCATATCCTGTATGCATTTTCACTTGTGTATTGTTCCAGTGTATTGTTCCAATATTTATATTTTGTATGCATTCTCATTTGTATATGCTTTGAATTTGCATTCAGTCCCATTACAGCCATGCTTGAATAAGAATCATTCGAAACGCAGCAACAGGCATCCGGATTACGCGTCTTAGATCATATTTGTTATGTTTATTTGAATTATACTTGCTGTTATATACTTGCTTACTTGCTTGTGCGTTATATATTTTTTGCCAGTGGTGTCCTTTTTTGTTTCCTGCGTCATTGTAGGTCTGCAGCTAACAGATACACACCTGAACCAGCATACTCAAGATTGCAACGGCACAGGCATTTTGATGCAATCATTCAGAGCAAGAGGTGTCAGTTAAATATTGCAAGAGTGCTAATGTTTTAAGCAAGTTTTTAAGTAAAAAAACACCCCACCTTTGTGCTTGTGTCCTTTATAAACTTTATATCTCCACTACCTGGCATTACCTTTTATGACACACACGGCCCGGCCCGACAAGGTCTCATTTATGTCAGATCCGGCCCTCATAACAAACGAGTTTGACACCCCTGCCCTAGAGCAAGCGTGGGTGACTTCCTGTCTTGCTTCCAGCAATATTTGTGGTTGGGGTGTGGGTGCTGACTCAGCCCTGATCAAAGCAGTGCTGACTGGGCTGGGTAGTGATGGGGGAGGGCAGGGATTTTTGGGAAGGCTGGGCCCCCCCCCCCCCCCCCGGCGCGGATCTCTTGCTGCCCTTGCACGTCTCTTCTTGGAGGAGGTGGTTGGTGGGCAGCCAGCAAAGCAGGTTGATAGTTGTTCGTTGGTTTTGCTTTAATTGTCTTGGTAGGGAGTAGGGCTTGCCGATCTGTTGTATACACCGGGGGGGGGGGATTGCTTTGACAGCCACCAGGGAAGCCGCTGAGCTCCATGCTGACACTTCAGAATGTTTGCTATCCTGCAGCAGACAGCACGGACAATGTTTGGAGCATTCTCTGATTCTGTCGGCCAGTTGGCTGCTCATGTGAGAGGGGAGGGGGGCCCTTCTGCTCCAAGCGCAGCGCGCCCGCCTCGGTATAATAGTTGGGAAACTGGATTAGTATTGCAATAAGTGCACTTTGGTTCTGCCGATCTCAAAAGGAGTACACCGTCCAGACCTCTGTCTCTTTCTGGGTTTAGGATAACCCCAAACTGTATCTGAACTTGCTGGAAATGGAGTACAACGGAGACCTGAAGCAGAACGAAGAGAACATCATCGTCTGCTTTGACAAAGCCATCGGCGGTACATTGCCGATCAAGATGAGGATTTTGTTTTCTCAACGGAAGGTGGAATTCCTTGAAGATTTTGGTCTGGATGTGAACAAGTGAGGTTTTATCCTGATTTCATCCCAGCATTTGCAACACTGTTAGATGGAAGTGCAGGTCCCTGGGGGAGAATGCTGCTTTGGGGGGGGGGGGGTTCTCTCTGCCCAGGCCAGCAGCCAGACAGGAAGGCTCTGTAGAAGGAAACGGGGTTTGGTGTGTTCCCTCCAGTAGAAGATTCCTCTGCTGCGGGATGAGCCACACGCAACTGGAGGCTGGCTCGGTTTTCTTTGTCCTCACGAGATCCGTGTGTCCCCAGCGCTGGCCAGAGGCACATGGCTGTGCTACTTCATGGGAATTCTGGAAGTGGGAGGGGGCAAAGACGGACGAGCTAGGCCTGTGGCAGAAGCCACCCGCATTTCCAACCCCCAGCGTCTAATCTGGGGATTATGTTTTCTTTTCCCCCCACTTTGGACAGGCTTTTGGGTGCCTACGAAGAGCATCAGGCCCTCCTGAAGGAGCAAGATACTTTGAAAAGGAAAGCTGAAAATGGGTATGAGCTTTTGGTCCTTTACCAGAGGCCCTGGTTGCTCCTCGAAGGGGTCGTGGAGTTTCAAGGGCCTCGTTCTCAGTGATACAGTCAGCTTGTGTTTAGGGCGCATCGCTTCACATTGCAGGCAAGGGTCCGTTCAAAAAGAAATCCCTGTGCATAGGGAAAATAGCATATTTACTCTATTTTTCACTCAGATTCGGGGCAGATCTTATCGGGGTAGATATTTTGTTTTCTGTTTGGAAAGAAGAAATAGTGGAGAGCCACTTTGTGTGCCCATTCAGAAGGAAGGATGTTAACCAAGTAAATAAAACAGAGGAGTGGTGTGTAGGTGTGAGGAGTCTCTGTGTTGATGTGAGCCTTAAGAACATAAGAGACGCCAATGTTGGATTAGGCCAAAGGCCCATCCAGCCCCACACTCTGTATCCCACAGTGGCCAGAAATACCAGATGCCATCTGGAGGTCCAGCAGTGGGGCCAGGACATTAGAAGCCCTCCCACTGTTGACCCCCCCCCCAAGCACCAAGAAGACAGAGCATCACTTGCCCCAGAGCCCCTAGCTATACCTTGTGGCTAATAGCCACTGATGGACCTCTGCTCCATATGCTTATCTAATTCCCTTTTGAAGCCGTCCATGCTTGTAGCCGCCACCACTTCCTGTGGCAGTGAATTCCATGTGTTAATCACTCTTTGGGTGAAGAAGTACTTCCTTTTATCCGTTCTAACCCGACCGCTCTGCAGTTTCATGGAGTGCCCACGAGTTCTTGTATTGTGAGAAAGGGAGAAAAGTACCTCTTTCTTTACCTGCTCTTTCCCATGCATAATCTTATAAACCTCGATCATGTCACCCCTTAGTCGTCTTTTCTCCAAGCTAAAGAGCCCTAAGCGCTTTAACCTTTCCTCATAGGGAAAGTGTTCCAACCCTTTTATCATTCGAGTTGCCCTTTTCTGCACTTTTTCCAAAGCTATAATATCCTTTTTAAGGTGTGGTGACCAGAATTGCACACAGTATTCCAAATGAGGTCTTACCATTGATTTATATAGGGGCATTATTATATTGGCTGATCTGTTTTCAATACCCTTCCTAATAATCCCCAGCATAGCATTGGCCTTCTTTATTGCAGTCACACACTGTCTCGACATTTTCAGTGAGTTATCTACTACAACTCCAAGATCTCTCTCTTGCTCAGTCTCTGCCAGTTCAGACCCCATCAATGTGTATTTATATTTAGGATTTTTGGCTCCAATGTGCATCACCTTGCACTTGGCCACATTGAACCCCATTTGCCATGTTGACGCCCACTTGCCCATCCTTGCCCGATCCCTTTGGAGTGCCTCACAATCCTTACTGGTTTTCACCACCCCGAACAACTTCGTATCATCCGCAAATTTAGCCACTTCACTGCTTACTCCCAACTCCTTCTTTCTGCAGCTTGAATTGGTACATTCCAGACCCAAATTGGTTTATTGCTTTAGCCATCTTGGAACTAAAAGTTCTTTAACAATCCAGCTCTGGTTTAAACAAGTGCTTGGGGGAGACTCTTGTTGAGAAGCGAAAGCTTTATAAATACAAAGCTGAAATGTTCTCTGAAACACTGGGAGTCTGTGAGGTTTTAGTGGCTACGCGTTTCCCCTCCCGTTCTAGTCTTTGCAGAAATCCGTGCCATTGCAGCGGATTCCAGGGCGTAAGGCCTGGCTTCCCTTCTGTCAGGATCCACAGCAAAACAACGAAGTACATGCTTCCAGGAAGGTTTTACTTTTATTGAAAAGCCATAGATGTAATAACATGAACACTGTTAGGAATGGTGGGTTACCTATGCGCATAATAGGATATAGGGCATTCGTATGCACCCCCCCCCCAGCTCTACCCAATTAGATGGACTCCTGCGCGCGGGCATTTGTCTTATTCTCTAACGGCCGCAAAGCTGGGAACGAAAGAAGTTCCCACGAAAGCTAGACACCACCAACCTCTCCAGTAACCTTGGCAGATAAGTGTTACAGCTTTGAAGCAATTAAGCGCATGGGAAGGAATGCACAGCAATTAGAAACACACACCCCACTCATGGCAGCTTCAGCTGACACCTTCCAAAAGAGCGAGAGCAGAGAGCCTGCCGTGGACTGTGTCTCCCCGCTGGTCCCAGGGAGGCAAGGCCCAGATAGTTGGCTTGTGTCGCCATATGCTGTCTCTCTCAGCACAAGCCACCGTTGCGGCCCCTGAGAAGTGACCGTTTGAGAAGACCCGAGGGTGGCTTGCAAGCCAAGCCCTCCCTGCAAACTCCCAGTTCAGAGGCGTGTTTGCATCGGTGAGGGACTGGGCTCACCTAAGCAGAAAGGCTCTTCTAAGAGAAATCCACCTTGTGGGCTTCGACGCGTGGTTCCCCAAGGTAATCCCAAACGGAATGCCGTGGGTGTTTCCTCCGCCATCTCCCGAAGTGCCTGCAGTGTTTTGACAACCAGACTCCTTAGGCACGAGTATGCTTTGCAGCAGACAGCCTCCGATCCCAGCCTTGCCCGATAACAGGACGTGCACTTCATCTTCCAGGTGCGAGGAGCCGGACGAGAAGAGGAGTCACGCCGAGGAGGCAGCTCTCGCAGCAGGGCAGATGACAGACGGAGACCTGCAAGCCAGCCAGGCGGCCTACAATTACAACGCCTGGTACCAGGTGAGCGGGCATCTCTGCCAGCTTGCTCCCTGCCTGAACTTCATCGCACGGTGGTGGGGACCAGCTGCCCTAGAGACAAGTCCCCGTCAGTGTTCCCTCTAAGCTGAGTTGGTGTGAGCCAGCTCAAGTCTTTTTAGCCTCCGGATCAGATATTTTTGTCTTAGCTCGGGAAGGATGGGTCCAGAGTAAGCTAGTTTATGCAGTAGCCAGATCGGTCGCTCACAACTTGAATGCCGGTAGCTCACAAAGTAGAACTTTTGCTCACAAGACTCCACAGCTTAGGAGCATTGGTCCCTGTGGCGGAGCAGCCCAGCGCTGGGTGTGTGCGTGCAGTGTCAAGCCTCAGGCTATTCCAATTACCTCCTTTGCAGTGTTAAGGATTACTTGGATGGGGGGGGGGGAAGCATCTATGTCTTCTGGAAGAGCTGTTTTTGCCGTGTGCCTTCACTAACATTTCCTTCTCCCTCCTTCCCTCTAGTACAACTACCCAAATGCATGGAATTACGGACAATATTATCAGTCCTCTTCGACCTGAGCAGAAGACCGGTGTGTCAGCAGAAATGGGCCATGGAAGTAACTTTTTTAAAAAAAAAAACAATAAGGGATGTGAACAAAACTTTCTCGTGCTCCTCCTGTCTCCCTTTGCATGTGCAATGAGCTGATGTCCACAGGGTACACGTGGCAAAACTTTTGTGTGTTCATTGGTATCTTGCTGTACTCTTAGTTGACCAGAACCTCAACCGTTTCCCACCCCTCCTCAAGTTATCAAGAAATTTATACGGAGAAATGTGCCGAGTTAAGTGTCCTGTTGGGAATTTTCAGCAGCAGCAGCTCCCTGACATTTTTTGATAAAGCCCCGGTCAAAGTTTGTCCCGGTGGGGATGGAGAGAGCGACCCCTGGGCTCACGTGTGGCGAATGATGCTCTTTTTGATCTTTCCCCCACAGAGGCCAGGTGCCTACAAACACTTCCAAAATGTCCCTCCTGTCCCATATTTGGTTGTCTGTCAGTTTACAGTGGCCACAACTGAAAGCTGTGAGTTGTTGTTATTAATTTTTTTTTTTTTTAAAGAAGGCATGAAAAGGGGGGAGCTGTGAAATGCCGGCAGGGCCTCCCTTCGGATTGAAATGACTGAAATGAAGTGTCGCTGAAACCATGCCGTGTTTGGGGTGGATTTTTGTATTGAATTTTCATTGTACAAGTTTAGAACTTCGTTTGATTAAAGTGTCTTTTTTAATAAAACCATACTGTGTACACTGCGGCTGCTGCAGAGTGGTTCTTACCGAGGGGGGCCAAGGAAACTACAGCCTCTCCGGATTATCATTCGTGCTCTCTGTGCCCCCCTGCGTAGGGCAGCAAGCCCTTAGAAGGGAGCCTGCTTGCAGAACAAACCACGTTCCCTCTTCTGCCCCCCCCCACCTCCTTACACACCTCTTCTGGATTGAGAGCCAGGATTCAAAATGATCTCAATAGGCCGGAGCAGTGGGCTGAGACAAATAAAATGAATTTCAATAGAGAGAAGTGCAAAGTCCTACACTTAGGTACAAAAATCCAAAGGCACAGATATAGAATGGGAGGGACTTGGCTTGACAGCAGCACATGTGAAAGGGATGTAGGTGTTTTGGTTGATCACAAGCTAAACGTGAGCCTGCAGTGCGATGTGGCTGCGAAGAAAGCGAATGCAATCTTCGGATGCATTAACAGAAGCAATCGTGTCCAGATTGCGGGAGGTGGTAGTTCTGCTCTGTTCTGCTATGGTTTGGCCTCACCTGGAGTCCTGTGTCCAGTTCTGGGCACCACATTTGAGGAAGGATGTTGACAAGCTAGAGCGTGTCCAGAAGAGGGCAATCAGGATGGTGAGAGGGTCGGAATCCAAGTCTTATGAGGAAAGGCTGAAAGAGTTGGGTATGTTTAGCCTGGGAAAGAGAAGGCTTAGAGGGGACACGATTGCAGTCTTCAAGTATCTGAAGGGCTGTCATGTAGACGATGGAGCAGATCTATTCCCTCTTGCTCCAGATCACAAGACTAGATCTAATGGGTGGAAATTACAAGGGAGTCGATATACCGGCTAAATATCAGGAGAAACATCCTAACTGTAAGAGTGGTTGAGCAGTGGAACAGACTGCCTCGGGAGGTGGTGGAGGCTCCTTCGCTGGACGTTTTCAAGCGGAGGCTGGAGGACCCTCTTTCGGGTATGTTGGGCTGTCTTTCGGCTCTGCTCCTGCAGAGTGCAGGGGGTTGGACTAGATGACCTGCAACTGTGAGGTCCCTTCCAACTCTCACATTCTATGATTCTATGATCTCTTCTCCAGCTGCCTTTCGGGGGGGGGATGGTTCCCCCACAGAGGCTGGCCACTATCAAAGTTTAAGGGGGGGGGGGAGGACCTGACCTCAGAGCTTCACTTCAGTCGTGGCGGGGCTTGCTTGAAACTGTCCCCCACTAGACAGAAGGGCAGGGGATCAGGACTCAGGAGAATGATCCTCATGAGACAGAATGAACATTGACATCTTTCCAGAGGGATGAGTTCCACGCCATCTGCAGAATGCCACTGCGCTCTCTTGCCCACCACGCCCCCCCCAAGCTTGGAATAAGAGAAGAAGAGATTGGATTTGTACCCCATGGCCCTTCACTTGGGAGTCTCAGAGCGGCTTACAAACTCCTTTCCCTTCCCCTCCCCACAACAGACACCCTGTGAGCAGTGTTCCCTCTAAGCTGAGTGAGTGTGAGCTAGCTCACAGTTTTTTAGCCTCCGGCTCACACATTTATGTCTTGGCTCAGAGAGGAGGGCTCCGGAGCCAACTAATTTATACAGAAGCCAAATTGCTCACAACTTGAACGCCCGTAGCTCACAAAGTAGAATATTTGCTCACAAGACTCCACAGCTAAGAAGGAGGTGGGGCTGAGAGAGCTCTTTCAAGGACAGCGCTGCCAGAACTTTGGCTTGTCCAAGGTCACGCCAGCAGCTGCAAGTGGAGGAGTGGGGAATCAAACCCGGTTCTCCCAGATTAGAGTCCGCGCGCTCCTAACCACTGCACCAAACTGGCTCAATATTGCGATCAACTAGGCCGCCTTCTCAAACGCCTGGGCCCTGCAAAGACAGGCAGATGGTAAAGAAGGGCTGCCCCCAACTTCAGGGCCTTAGTACCAGTTTCCTGGTCCTTTTTGCATCAGCATTCACCACTTTTGGGGAGAAAATGGATGAGGCCTTTGTCAGGCAGGGGATATTATTGGGTTTCCAAAGACAGAATTTCCTCTGGTGTCAGAGAATCAGGTCTCCTCAGCATCCGGGCTTGTAGTTCCACCCCCCTCAACAGTGCTTCCTTTTTTAGTCCCCTTTTGTGAAACAAGGAGGGAGATAATGTGTTCTTCTGACAGCCCTCCCTACCCCACCTCAGAATTTCAAAGGTGCCCACAGCCACCAAAAAGCTGGGGACCCCTTCTACACCATCCTTCATTTTTCCTCTGACGCGCCATTTAAACGGTGTTCCAGGCACCGGGACCGCAAGGACCCCGCCCTGCCCACGACGAGCAGACCTCAGGAACAGCATCACACCAGGCAGTGGGACTTCCTGCAGGGGAGACTTTTTATGACATTCGGTAGAACAAAGCAGCAACAAAAGGCAGACCCCCCCCCCCCCCCCAGGAAGTCTTCAGACTGGCTTTGTAGCAACTGGATCGGGGGATCACAAGGCCACCATAGTATTCCCTGGACACAAATTGTCACAGCCGTCCAGTCTTGGAAGAAGAAGAGAGTCCCGTCATTCAATATCCACCAATTCGACTTCGAAAAAAAGTTTTGCATTTGGTGGAATCCTGAAAGGGGGGGGGGAGTTAAGGAATTTTCCATCAGCACAGCGGGCACCCTTTGCCTCCCCCTGCCCCCCCTTGAAGCCAAGATCTCGGGAAGACACAAGAAGAGAAGAGGAGGCTGGATTTATACCCCGCCCTTGAGCGGTTTACAGTCTCCTTTCCCTTCCCCTCCCCACAACAGACACCCTCTGTGAGGTAGGCGGGGCTGAGAGAGCTTGGACAGAAATGGCTCTTTTTCCAAGAACAGCTCTTGTCAGAACTACGGCTTGCCCAAGGTCATCCAGCAGCTGCAGGTAGAGGCGTGGGGAATCAAACCCGGTTCTCCCAGATTACAGTCCGCGCACTTAACCACGACACCAAACTGGCTGCCTTCTGTCGAATCAGACCCTCAGTCCCTCAAGGTCAGTACTCTCTACTCAGACTGGCAGCGGGTCTCAGGCAGAGGTCTTTTGCATCACCTCCTGCTTGGTTCTTTTAACTGGAGATGCCGGGGATTGAACCAGGGACCTTCTGCATACTGAGTAGACGCTCTTTCACTGAGCCACAGCTCCCCCTCCCCCAAGCACACAGGAAGCTGCCTTAGGACCATGAAGGTCAGTACTGTGTACTCAAGAAGAAGAAGAAGAAGAGATTGGATTTATACCCCGCCCTTCACTTGGAGTCTCAGAGCGGCTTACAAACTCCTTTCCCTTCCCCTCCCCACAACAGACACCCTGTGAGGTGGGTGGGGCTGAGAGAGCTCTGACACAAATGGCCCTTTTTCAAGGACAGCTGTGCCAGAGCTTGTGACTGACCCAAGGTCACATCAGCGGGTGCAAGTGGAGGAGTGGGGAATCGAACCCGGTTCTCCCAGATTAGAGTCCGCACACTTAACCACTACACCAAACTGGCTCAAGACTGGCAGCGGCTCTCCAGGGTCTCAGGCGGAGGTCTTTCATACCACCTCCTGCCTGGTCCTTTTTAACTGGAGATGCTGCCGGGGATTGAACCTGGGACCTTCTGCATGCCAAGCAGAAGCTCTTCCACTGAGCCACGGCCCCTCTTGACAGCTCTCCAGGGTCTCAGGCGGAGGTCTTCCCCATCACCTCCTGCCTGGTCCTTTATAACTGGAGATGCTGCCGGGGACTGAACCTGGAACCTTCTGCATGCCAAGCAGAGGCTCTGCCACTGAGCCACAGCCCCTCTTTACAGCTCTCCAGGGTCTCAGGCGGAGGTCTTTCCCATCCCCTCCTGCCTGGTCCTTTTTAACTGGAGATGCTGCTGGGGACTGAACCTGGAACCTTCTGCATGCCAAGCAGAGGCTCTGCCACTGAGCCACAGCCCCTCTTTACAGCTCTCCAGGGTCTCAGGCGGAGGTCTTTCCCATCCCCTCCTGCCTGGTCCTTTTTAACTGGAGATGCTGCTGGGGACTGAACCTGGGGCCTCCTGCATGCCGAGCAGAGGCTCTTCCCGAGCCACACGCCTCCCCTTGGTTCTGTCTCCCGAAAGTGATTTCCGTTAAGGATACTTGGCGTCTGGTTGCCCTTTCTTCCCGTAAGCCCATTCGGGTTCGATTTCCAGCTGAGCCTTCTCTCCTTTGCTCATGGTCAGCAGAGCTTCATCCCACTGGGGGGGGGGGGGGGAGAAAAAAAACCACAAGAAGAGCCTGAGATCGGGGCAGGGCCCCCCCCCCCCGGCGGACGGGGCTTTGTGCAAACCTGGGGACAGGAGCAAGGGCCTTTTGCTGCCCCACAGTTAAGGAAGCCCTTTGTCAAAGCTTTGCCGGGGCAGACCTCAGCACCTTCCGCCAGCAGGCCAAGACCTTTGTCTCGATCAGCATGAAGCTGCCTCGGACCCTGTTCTGGAAGCGACGTTATGACTTTCCAGAGCAGCTGCCCTGTTCATCCGTCGCAGCAGACACAGGCAGGGATCTGTGGCACCTTTCCTTACTCTAGCACAAGGTCCCACCCACTAGAGCCCAGCTCCTCTTGACCACTGTGGGGGAGGAGGTGGGGGAGGGCACAGGCGTTAGCAGCTGCCCGGGAAAAGGCACGACCAGCAGGGGAAAAGAGTCGAGAGAGTGACAGGCGGTGCTCTGGCCGCACCTGCCCCCGCAGCATACTCACGCCTCGGATCACTTTTCCCACACCGACTTTGAAGCTCAGCGGCTTCGACGCTTTCTTCTTCTTGGAACCTGAAAAGGAGAGTTTGCTCTTGAGTGTGTCCAGATGAAGCCCACGGGGTGAAACTGCCTGGCGCTCCTCTCGCTCCGGCCTCCGCCCACTCGGATCCAAGCGGTGGCCAGAGAAGCAGGCAGCCATGCCTGTCACTTTCCCCAAAGGGCTCCCCCAGGTTCTCTCGGTGCCAAAAGTTAGTTTCTGGGTGAAGGCCGAGCCTCCGGCACAGACCAATTCCGTTTACTGCATTTGGTTTCAAAAGGAATCCTGGTCGTACCCTCTTTTGTGAGCTTGGTGGGTACAAACCCACACCTTTGGGGCAAACCCAGCTGAAATGCAAGGGCGCTGCTGCCCAAACCCCGGTCATCTCAGTGGGCCTTGCACTAGATTATTAGGCTGACGGTTCCGCCTTCACTCTGCCCACCGCTGATGTTGAGAGAGTGAAACTGTGTGCAGTTCTGGTCACCACACCTCAAAAAGGATATTATAGCTTTGGAAAAAGTACAGAAAAGGGCAACTCGAATGATCAAAGGGTTGGAACACTTTCCCTACGAGGAAAAGTTAAAGCGCTTAGGGCTCTTTAGCTTGGAGAAAAGACGACTGAAGGGTGACATGATCGAGGTTTATAAGATCATGCATGGGATAGAGCAGGTAGAGAAAGAGGTACTTTCCCCCCTTTCTCACAATACAAGAACTTGTGGGCACTCCATGAAATTGCTGAGCGGTCGGGTGAGAACGGATAAAAGGAAGTCCTTCTTCACCCAAAGAGTGATGAACACTTGGAATTCACTGCCACAGGAAGGGGTGGCAGCTACAAGCATGGACGGCTTCAAAAGGGAATTAGATAAGCAAATGGAGCAGAGGTCCATCAGTGGCTCTTAGCCACAAGGTATAGATAGGGTCTCCGGGGCAAGGGATGCTCTGTCTTCTTGGTGCTTGGGGGGGGGGGGTTAATAGTGGGAGGGCTTCTAATGTCCTGGCCCCACTGGTGGGCCTCCTGATGGCCCCTGGTATTTCTGGCCACTGTGTGATACAGTGTTGAACTGGATGGGCCTTTAGCCTGATCCAAACATCGGCGTCTCTTATGTTTGGTGTTGTGGTTAAGTGTGTGGACTCTAATCTGGGAGAACCGGGTTTGATTCCCCACTCCTCCTCCACTTGCACCTGGCTGGATGACCTTGGGCAAGCCGTAGTTCTGATAAGAGCTGTCCTTGAAAAAGAGCAGTTTGTGTCAGAGCTCTCTCAGCCCCACCCACCTCACAGGGTGTCTGTTGTGGGGAGGGGGAGGGAAAGGAGTTTGTAAGCCGCTCTGAGACACCTTTGGGTAGTGAAGGGCCATGGGGTATAAATCCAATCTCTTCTTCTTATTATTATGTTCTTATGATTACCGTGCATTTATCCATATCCAGTGGAATGGGCTGCCTAGGGAGGTGCTGAGCTCCCCCTCTCTGGCAGTCTTCAAGCAGCGGCTGGAGAAACCCTTGTCAGGGATGCTCTGGGTTGATCCTGCACTGAGGAGGGGGCTGGACTAGATGGCCTGCAGGGGCCCTCCCAACTCTGTTGTGATTCTAGGATTCTAACCTGGGTCTTTCAGATCCTAGCCCCCCCCCCACTGCTCTAACCACTACACCACACTGACAAACATCACCAACCCTTCCTCCCTTTCAGCTCTATTTCATACCTGAATTTTGCATCCTTTGCTTTGGAGAAGAAGAGATTGGATTTATACCCCGCCCTTCACTACCCGAAGGAGTCTCAGAGCGGCTTACAAACTCCTTTCCCTTCCCCTCCCCACAACAGACACCCTGTGAGGTGGGTGGGGCTGAGAGAGAAGAAGAGATTGGATTTATACCCCATAGCCCTTCACTCCCCAAGGGAGTCTCAGAGCGGCTTACAAACTCATTTCCCTTCCCCACAACAGACGCCTGTGAGGTAGGTGGGGTTGAGAGAGCTCTCTTGAGAAATGCCCTTGAGAGAACAGCTCTGACAGAACTACGGCTTGCCCAAGGTCATCCAGCAGCTGCAAGTGGAGGAGGAGTGGGCGAATCAAACCCGGTTCTCCCAGATCAGAGTCCGCGCACTTAACCACGACACCAAACTGGCTCTCTCAACCAAGTGCTTTCAAGCAACACAGCCTAGGCTAGGGTTGCCAACCTCCAGGCGGTGGCTGGAAATCTCCTGCTATTACAACTGATCTCCACGTGACAGTGATCGGATCCACTGGAGGAGATGGCTGCTTTGGCAGGCGGACTGTATGGCATTACACCCCATTGAGCTTCCTCCCCCTCCTCAAACCCTGGCCTGTTGAGGCCTGTTGAGGTTCCCCCCCCCCCCCCCAATATCCAGATATTTCCTGGCCCAGAGTTGCCTAGGAGCATGGCCTACTTCACAATGTTCCACGTGCAGCCCTTGAACACTCGCAGCTGAATGTGCAGACACATGCCCCAGGAGAGCGAGGAGTTTGCACAAATTCTCTGTGACGCGAGGCTATAATGCTGCACTGGATAAAGAACTGGATAACGAAAGTGGCAAGAACACCAAAAGATCAGGAGCAATTCTTACCAAAGCATTTCTGAGTTCCGGTTCCGGTCAGCTATTTGAAGGACGCTCAGAGATAAGCACTCGGCTTTTTGGCAAGGTTTTTTAAAGTTATTTTATCTCCTACAAGTTTGTTGTGCTCAGCTATTAGCCTTCCTTATAAACTGTGTGTGTTTTAATGAACTGTATTTAGTTGAGCCAAAGATTGGAAAGACTTTTACAGCTTTTTTGTCGGGTTAAGCTTCCTGCTCAGCGTCTAGCTTCTATCGTGCCTTTGAACTTTTTCTCAAATAGCCTCTGAAAGCATTTCTACAGATTGCAGAAGAACACAGTCTGACAGACGCACGGAGGACCAGGAATATGACTAAGAAAGACTACGCTTTTTATCCCTCAAGACACAAGTCCTGCTCTAGAAGAGAGAGGGCGTGGATCACGGCAACAATGGCAGCCAGATTTGCTGGAGGCGGAAATCTTACCCAATACTTTTGCGGATCATAACCCCGCACTTTTGGCGTTTAACACACACACGTACCTTACAAGGTCCCTTGACCTTAAATTATATAGACTGAAGATGGGAGTTGAGCTCACTTCAGTGCTAAACAGCTGACTGGATTCCTCAAGGGCACAGAAGCCACTGAGAATGTCCTCAGAGTAGCCTCCACCGGCGTGAGTCATGCAATGGCGCAGCCTGACGGGACTCCTGTGACTCTCACAACAGCACAGGCAGGGAGGCACTCCTGGTGCAGCAACGGGGCTTGAGTCTGGTCTGCCCGAGCCCTTCCCCTCCCCACGCCCTTAGCGCCTCCGCGCTCTCCAAACACTCACCTGCCTGAATATTCGTATCGAAGACCGTTCCATCTTGCAGCTTTCCCGTATACCAGCAGTGGACAACGTCGCCCTTTTTTGGAAAGTTGACTTTATCCCCCTTCTTCAGGATCGACTTTGTATACCTGGGGGGGCCCTGGGCCAGAACGAGAGCAGAAACACAGCTGGGTGGCCTCCTCCTCTCACCGCCCTAAATCACACCGCCCTCAGCTGTGCTCACAAAAGGGAATTTCCATATCTCTCTCGTCCCTCCGCGGTCTGCCATGCCTCCTGCCCCTGTCACGGCTCAGGTGGGGTCTCACCTGACGCTGCCACCACTCTGGATTTAGGATCCCTTGAGAAGGCCCAGAGCACCCTCCCAAGACCTTCAGACCTCCCTTTAGGCCGAATAACAGGCGTGAGGACCAGGCAGAGTGAAACAAGGAAAAGGTTTATTTTATAGGAGGTCAAACAACAAGGTGCAGAATCATAACAGTAAGTGGGTGAAAAGAAATCAAATGCCCTAACGCGTCTAAATATATACTGTCCCTAGCTCACTATCTCAAGCGGCCTTAGACTACTCAGGATGAGGGTTTTTTCCCCTGCAGCAGCCTTCCTTCTGGCTCTGCCCTCTGGGAAGAAGAACAGCTTCTGCTCTGGCACCAGCCCTTTTGTTCCCCAGCCCTCTTCTTCCCTATTGGTCCATTTTGGCTCCAAAACCTCTCAGGGGCTTCTGGGAGTTGTAGGCCCGGCCTCACCTACTGCTAGCCAGGCCTCCTGGGCCTAGTAGGCCTCTGATGGCACAGCCCGGATCATGGCAGCCCCCCACAATTCTGTTTTCAGGAGTCAGTGGATCCCTGGGAACCACTCTGGGGCGGATGCGTGCCACGGGAGGCGAGGAATATCCAGCAATTGCCTCCCGCACCACGGGGCGAGCCAGCAATCCCAGCACCATCTGCCCCAGCACGGCCAATGGGGAGACCAAGTCAGTACAGGCGCAGGGGATTTTCGCTGCAAAGTGTCCAGGAAACTGGTCCCAGCAGGTCACCTGGCAGTCCAGCGCCTCTGGCAGGTCGGTTCCAAACAGGCATCTCTCTGACCACCCAGAAAAGCTCCCCTGGCCTACACGGCACAGATGCTCTCGCTGCAGAAAAGCACCGTTTCTTTGCTGCTACAGAACAAGCTTTAAAATGAGCTCCAGTCCTTGTTTTGTTGGATTGGCCACGTCTTCCCCTGCTGTTGCTCCAGCTATCTCCCTCGCCTTCTCACAGCCCACAACTCCTCAATATACCAAGAGAGGGCACCTACGGGCACCTACGTCAACCGCCCCAGGCCATTTCCACATCCCACCGGTCAACCAGTGCATTGACAGGAATAGCAGGAAAACCCACAGGAACCATTAGCAAATCGCTTGGCTCTATCTGGCTGCAGGGGTGGATCATCTTTAGTCTGTAGCAGTAGAAAAGAGCCAGAGTCCAGTAGCACCTTAAAGACTAACAAAATTTGTCACAGGGTGTGAGCTTTCGTGAGTCACGGCTCACTTCTTCAGAAACCATCCGAAGTGATCAGTGACGCATGAAAGCCACAAATGTTGTTGGCCTTTAAAGTAGTGCTGGACTCTCACTCTTTTATATTGGTATCCCTGTAAGTCTGAACTACAGCATACTGCAGCAGCTGAACACCAAAGCTGACCACGAAGAGAAAGTGGGAAAACTTGTCTTTGGACAGAATGCAAAAATAGCCAACTTTCAGCAATAGAACGATTAAAGCTACAAATGAAGACATTTCCAAAATCGCTTCCTTCTAGCAACCACGAAGCATGTAGTGTGAGAGCTGCCAAACTGCGGCAACTGCATGATCGTAGACAGAAAAGTGTCATTTTAGGGACCAAATTACGAGAGAAAACACCAGTAATCAGCCCAATAACCCACAGCGACTTGTCATTTTAAGAAAACCCAAGTGAATTTAACCAACTTGTTGGATCAGACGGCACGCACTTCTAGACCAGGTGCCTAGAGGTATACCATTTTTTTCCATTAAAAAAAATAAATAAACCAACAACCCCCCCCATACATTAGTTTTGTATCACTTTTTAAATTTGTTTTTTCAATCCACGGTGAAATAGAACAAAAGCTTAAACATCTGGAATTATAAATCTTTTTTTAAAAAATGCAAGTATACATACACAACTGCATATAATATGCAGACTTCTGAAACAGAATAAACGGTTCCAAAATAGCAGCTAATGCTGCTTTAGCCTGTCTTCCAACCTTTAAACACATGCATTCTGCCAATTTGGCCAATTTCCAGAACCTTTTTATTAATCCACTCCCTTCTGCTACAATCCACTCCCTTCTGCTATAATCGTTTTTGCAACCGTTAACAGGGTAAGTTAATTCTGATTTAGTAATAAACGGTGTCAAGAATGTCTCTGGAGAGACGACATGTACATTTTCTAAATAAATGATGCTAGCACAAACTCAAGACATTCAAGACTTTCTCCACATCACCGCCTCAGGGACCCAGTGGCATGGAGGAGAATGCACTGTGCGAGCTGGGACTTCCATGCACATTTTGCAGTGGGGGAGATTCCAATGCAGCCCCACCTGTTCACCTCCTCTTACCCCAGCCGTGTTGCCACAGTCATCCTGCCCAAAGATCTCAAAGCTTGACCAGAGACCAACCTACCTCACTGATGGCTTCCTCAGGCTTTGCCTCTTTGGGCTTGTCTTCATCAAGCTTGACATTTTTCACCTCCTCCGTCACGTGTTCTGCACTCTCGGTGCCCTTAAAGCTCTACAAAGAAAACATCAATCCGTGAGACAATCAACTCAGGAACTCCAGATAGTACAGAATGCCACAGCCCCGCTGGTGGACCTCCTGGTGGCCCCTGGTGGTTTTGGCCACAGTGTGACACAGAGTGTTGGACTGGGTGGGCCATTGGCCTGATCCGTGGTTTCTGTGATATTCTTATGTCTGGGGCAGTTTTGTTTTTGCATGTGGGTGGGTATACTGGCACTTAGGTTTCACTAGGCCTCGAAGCATTGGAAGAAAATACAGAGCAACAAAAAGGACCTGAAAGTATATACTTAATTTTAAAAGATAAGAGTTTTCATTTATCTGATTCCAGAAAACGGAATCATTTAGCTACATTAGTTTATCTTTATAACCTTTGTGTAAATAATAATTTAATTACTACTAATCTGGTTCTTTACTTCCCCCTACCCACTCACAATAATTGTTTGGATACACTATATTTTTAATATGCTAGTTGTGATAATTTCATGCCAAGTAAAATTGTCCATAGTCCTAAAGTAACAGAATGACTTTCAATCTGGAAAAGAGAGAAAAAAGTGCTAATGTAGCATTTTTTTTTTCAATTTTTCTGAAAATTTCCATGTTTTTCTGGGAAAAAAAACCTGGTTTTTTTTCCGAGCTTCAAAATTTCCAGAAACTTTATATCTCTAGTCTTTATATCAGATATAATGCAGCCTTAGAGAGAGAGAGAGAGAGAGAGAGAGAGAGAGAGAGA